AGAGAATTAAATAACATAAAAAGATAGTTAAAAGCATTGTGTCTATTTTTTGAGAATTTTCACTTTATTTTTTCTGGTGATGATCATAGGGTTTTGAACTCAGGGCCTGGGTGCCATCCCTGAGCTCTTTTACTTAAGGCTCATGCCCTACCACTTTGAGCCACAGCTCCACTTCCAGTTTTCTGGTGATTAAGTGGAGATAAGAGTTTCATGGAATTTCCTGACGTGGCTGGCTTAGAACCACGATCCTTGGATCTCAGCCTCCTGAGTAGCTAGGATTACAGGTGTGAGCCAACAGCACCTGGCTATTCCAAGAGTTTTTACAGTCAACTAGTCCATCTACCCAATCCATAATTTGATAATACACAGTATAGTTCTTCCCGCCCCCCCTCCAGTCATGGGGCCTGAACTCGGGGCCTGAGTGCTATCCCTAGGCTCTTCAGCTCAAGGCTAGCGCTCTACCACTTGAGCCACAGCACCATTTCTGGCTTTTTTTGCTTATGTGGTGCTGAGGAATTGAACCCAGGGCCTCATGCATGCAAGACAAGCGCTCTTCCACTGAGCCACCTTCCCGGCCCCGAGTATAGTTCTTTTCTTCTGTCAAAAATAATAATTTTTAAAACAAATATTGTAAGATGGTTTAAAACAACAAGTGTTCCATAGAAATGTAAAGTAGGGTAGGTCAGAATGGCTTCGAACTTTTTCCCACAATCGTCAGTTAGGCAATATTCAAAGAACTTCCTTATTTTAACTTTAAAACTTACAACAACTTCTCTATGTTGATAATAAAGGTTCTTTCTTTTTCAAGCAGGGAGTTCATATTGCTTGAGATGCAATATAGTTTTGGTATAAAGCAGATTGTTTAGACAGCCACTGAGCTGGTGATATAATATCAATGTGATACAAAGTTCCCATGAATAACATGTAGTGGTGTGTGTGTGTGTGTGTGTGTGTGCGCGCGTGCGCCAGTGCTGGGGCATGAACACAGACCTGGGTGCTGTCCCTGACCTTTTTTGCTCAAAGTTGGCACTCTACCATGTAAGCCACAGCTCTGTTTCCAGCTTTTTGGTGGTTAATTGGAGAGAAGGTCTCACAGACTTTTCTTTCTAGCTGGATATGCCAATCCTCAGATCTCAGCCTCCTGAGTAGCTAGAATTACAGGTAAAAGCTACTGATGCCAGGTTGTATATTTGATTTTGAAATGTGAGACAGAAGCAGCAATAACAATTTTAGTTGTTTTTAAAACTGAAGGGATGAAGTCAAATTTTAACATAGACTCATTTTAGATAATTGTAATATTTTCATCAGTCTTAATTGTTTAGGGGCTAGGGGTTTAGCCCAGCGGAAGGGCGCCCACCCGGGGCGCACAAGGCCCCGAATTCGGTCCTCAGCCCTGGGGGAAAAAAAAAAGACATAAAAGCTACAAAAGACCAAAAAAAAAAAAAAAACAAAAAACAAGGCAATGGCGCAGACCTAATTGTTTAGATTATACTGCCTCTTTTGAGTAGATTGGGAAAAATGCATATTGGCTGGTTCCTCCATGTTCTAGAAAACAACAATTATGTGACACTAGGACTTATTTCTCTCTTGAACAGTAATGCTATAGTGACACATGCATTCATTCAATAATAAGGTTTTGAGTATTTACTATGTGTGAGACCTTATGTCAAGCCTCACAAAACAGAAAAATGTATAGAACTGGAGCCTATAATGCTAGCCACTCCGGAGGTTGAGAGCTGAGGTTCATGGATTGAAGGCAACTTGAGTAGGAAGGTCTGTGAGATTCTTCAAAAAGTCTTAAGTGGAAGTGTGGCTCAAATGGTTACACACTAGCCTTTAGTGAAAAACCAAGTAAGAGCAAGAGGTTCTGAATTCAACCTTGTACCAACAAGCGTGCAAGTGCATGTGTGCACGCACACACACGTGCACATGCACACACACACAAAGTATAATACTAGGAATGTGCATGCCACAATGTTGGGCTGTAAGTAATGTGCATGGACAATGAGTGTAGAATTCTATGTACCAATCATGACTACTGCGAAAGGGGAAAAGGAGGAGCCTAGTGCCAGTGGCTCATACCTGTAACCCTAGCTACACGGGAGGCTCAGGTCTGAGGACTGAGGGTTCTACTCAGGCAGAAAAGTCTATGAAACTCTTATCTCCCAATAACCAACAAAAAGCTGGAAGTGGCACTGTGGGCCAAGTGGTAGAGCACTAGCCTTGAGCCAAAAAAGAAAAGAAAAGAGTTGGGCACTGGTGGCTTACGCCTGTAATCCTAGCTACTCAGGAGGCTGAGATCTGAGGATTGAGGTTCAAAGCTAGCCTGGGCAGGAAAGTCCATGAGACTCTTATCTCCAAAAAACTACTCAGAAAACCAGAAGTAGCACTGTGGTTCAAGTGGTAGAGCACTAGCATTGAGCTAAAGAGCTGAGGGACAGTGCCCAGGCCCAGGGTTCAAGTCCCATGACAGACAAAAAGAAAAAGAAAAGAAAAGAAGCTGAGTGCTGGTGGCTCATGCTTGTAATCCTAGCTACCCAGGAGGCTGAGATATGAGGTTTGTGGATTTTTTTTTTTCCTGCTTATGTGGTGCTGAGGAATTGAACCCAGGGACTATGCATGCAAGGCAAGCGCTCTACCACTGAGCCAACTTCCCAGCCCAAGTCTGTGAGACTCTTATCTCCAATAAACCATCAGAAAATACTGAATTATGATTTTTTTTGGTCCGTCCTAGGGCTTGAACTGAGGGCATGGGTATTGTTCTAGTGTTTTTTGTTTTGTTTTGTTTTGTAGGTTGTGGGGCCTGAACTCTGGGCCTGGGTGCTGTCCCTCAGCATTTCAGCTCAAGGCTAGCACTCTACCACTTGAGCCACAGCTCCACTTCTGGCTTCTTTTTGCTGGTTAATTGGCGATCAGAGTCTCACGGCCTTTCTTCTGGGCTGGCTTGGAACTATGATCCTCAGCTCTCAGCCTCCTTTAGTAGGTAGGATTACAGGTGTGAGCCATGGGCACGTGGCTGTGAATATTGCTTTGAGAGACTGAATGAACCTCAAGAAGAGTTGTTGGAAAGCTACGTGATTTTAGAGATAGTGGTGAAAATACATCCACATTTTAAAATTTAGTAAATTATTATGGACCACAGGAACGGGAGAACATTAACTGATCATTTAGCTTTGAATGAATTGGTCAATTGACAAATCTACTAAGAATTAGTCTGGAGCAACACCACCACCTTGTGGACTCTCTTGGAAAAGAATAACTTTCTTGATGGTTTGACTACTCAAAGTGGTTAACAAGTTACAAATATCTTGTGTGTGTGCGCGCATGCACGTGTGCACACGTGTCCTTGGGGCTAAATTCAGGGCCTGAGGAGATTCTATGCTGAAGTGTGGCACTCTACCGCTTCTTTTTACTAGGTAATTGGAACAGTCTCACTAACTTTCCTACCTGGGCTGGCTTCGAACTATGATCCTCAGAGCTCAGCCTCCTGAGTAGTTAGGATTGCTGGTGTGAGCCACTGGTGCCGGCTCAGTTGTAAAAATCTTGAGGAACAAGTGTAACAATACTGTAGAGTACATGCTTCAGGATATTTATAGCTTCTGAAACTTTATAATTTAACAGGTATTTGTTTAGTATCTATGTAGAAAAAGTGAGGAAGAAAATCAACACATTTTAGTGAATGTAAAAAATAAAAAATAAGTACAAGCAATAAGAAAATGATGTGTGATGGGAAGTATTTTAAAAATCAGGATATGCTGCAATGTTCAGGTTTTTGGCAGTAATGGGGTTCAATTCAGGACATGATACTTGCTAGGCAGGTTCTCTACCACTTTCTCTAGTCTTACAAATTGAGAGTAGTAAAGATCAGGCAGAGATGAGATCTGATCACCAGTAAAGTGTGTGTGTGTGTGTGTGTGTGTGTTGGTTTGTGCTAGTTTTCTGTTACTGGTGCTTAAATTCAGGACTTAGATTTTTTTCCTTAAGGTTGTTTCTCTACCACTTGAGCCACACTCCCATTTCCAGATTTCTATTGGTTAACTGGTGGTGAGAGTCTCTGCTTTGTCTGCCAGGGCTGGCTTTGAATAAGGATCCTTAGATCTCTGCCTCCTGAGGAGCTAGAATTTTTATTTTATTTATTTTTTGTCAGTTGTGAGAGTTGAATTCTGGGCCTGGGCGCTGTCCCTCAGCTCTTCAGCTCAAGGCCAGCGCTCTACCACTTGGGCCACGGTGCCACTTCCAGTTTTCTGGTGGTTTACTGGAGATAAAGAGTCTTATGGGCTTTCCTGCCTGGGCTGGCTTTGAACCATGATCCTCCAAATCTCAGCCTCTTGAGTAGGTAGAATTACGGGTGTGAGCCACTGGCACCCAGGGAATAGCTAGAATTATAAGCATGAGTCACTGGCTCCAACAACTTTTAAAAGAATAAATATATATTATGTCTTGGGGATTACTCCATATATTTCATAGGTGTTAACTTACTGTGCCTTAAGTTTTAAAAAATTAACATTAAGTAATTAAGTAGATGTACAAAGAGGTTTCAATCCAGCATGTCAGTTTCTGAGTACAGCTCATCTCCCCCCTCCGTCTGGTGGGGGGGGGGGGGTTGAACTCTGGGTCTCGGTGCCGTTCCTGAGCTCTTTAGCTCAAGGCTACTACTTGAGCCACAGTGCCACTTCTGGTGGTTAATTGGAGATAAGAGCCTCATGGACTTTTTCTGCCCAGGCTGGCTTTGAACCGCAATCCTCAGATCTCAGCCTCCTGGGTAGCTAGGATTACAGGCGTGAGCCACCAGCGCTGGCAGCACATCTTGATTAATGTCACCTTCCATCATTCTCCACCGTCTTTCCCAATCCCACCCATCCTCTCAATTTACCTAGTTCCATTTTCATATAAGTACATTCATCTCCATGCACCTGCCCCCTCGCCTTATTACATCTTTTAAAAAATTGCCTCCATACTTTTTTCCTAAAGGAAATAAATAGTATTATGAGCCAACAACCTTTCAAGAAGTGTTGAAAACCTTTTATTCTGTTCTAGCCTTGAGTCAATGTAGTACAGCCCAAATGGGAAATAGTATCCTCAAAAAATTAAAAATGCGATTACAATGGTTTGCTCGTGCACATAAAATGAGATTAGCATGTCAAAGAGATAAATGCATTCCCATGTTCACTGAAGTGAAGCCACAGGAGCCAGGATAGGAGATCATCCTAAGAGTGATTAATAAAAGATATGTGACATACACATATAGACACACTTACTTGTTTTAAAACTTATATACCTGCAATAGAACATTATTCAGCCTAAAAAACTGCACAGACTTGGAGAACATTATGCTAATTGAAATAAACCAGCACACAAAAGTGAACACTTCATATGTGGAATCTAAAACGAGATTTGAGGGCTGGGAAGGTGGCTCAGTGGTAGAGTGCTTGCCTTACACGCCTGAGGCCCTGGGTTCGATTCCTCAGCATCACATAAGCAAAAAGAAAAAAAAAGCCAGAAGTGGCGCTGTGGCTCAAGTGGTAGAGCGCTAGCCTTGAGCTGAAGAGCTGAGGGACAGCACCCAGGCCCAGAGTTCAGGCCCCACGACCGGACCCAAAAAAAAAAACAACAAAAAGACAAACTAAAACTAGATTTGACAGGAGCAGAGCACATCGGTGATGCCAGGTTGAGTGCTGAGATGGAGAGAGAGCAATAGAAGAGTACTAAGTTACATTTAGTCAGAATAAGAAAATTCTGGAGATTCGTTATCAAACAGGATAACCATGTGAAAGGAGGGACTGGGCACAAGAGTCAAGATAACGAAAAAGGGACAATATGCCATGGACAGAAATCACTGGCAGTCAGGAAAGAGGTAACAGGACAAGCTGAAAAGTACAGGAAACAGGGAAACAGAGAAAAGTAGAAAATAGTCTACAGGGCTAGGAAGGTGGCTCAGTGGTAGAGTGCTTCCCTTGCATGCCTGAGGCCCTAGGTTCAATTCCTCAGCACCACGTAAGTAAAAAGAAAAAAGCCGGAAGTGGCGCTGTGGCTCAAGTGGTAGAAGTGGCTAGCCTTGAGCTGAAGAGCTGAGGGACAGCGCCCAGGCCCAGAGTTCAGGCCCCACAACTGGACCCCTCCACCCCCCCCCCCCCAAAAAAAAGAAAAGACAATAGTCCACAGGCCAGGCACCAGTGGCTCTGCCTATAATCCTAGGTATTCAGGAGGCTGAGATCTGAGGCTCGCAGTTCAAAGCCAGCTGGGGCAGAAAAGTCTGTGAGATTCTTATCTCCATTAAACCGCCAGAAAACCAGAAGTGGTGCGTGGCTCAAGTGGTGCGTGGCTCAAGTGGTAGAGTGCTAGCCTTAAGCTGAAGAGCTGAGGGACAATGCCCAGCCCAGCCCAGAGTTCAAGCCCCACAACTGCCAAAAAGAAAAAGAAAAAAAGAAAATAGCTGAGGGGTCCCGAGAAGCCAAACCCACAACCTCAGTAGCACCAAAAAGAAAAAGAAGCAAATCCTAAGGACACCATCTGTTTTGTATAAGAAAAAATAAAAAAAGAATGTTAGCCAGGCACTGGTGGCTCAGGCCTGTAATCCTAGCAACTCAGGAGACTGAAATCTGAGGATCCCAGTTAAAAGCTAGCCCAGGCAATAAGACTCTCATCTCCAACTGACCACTAAAGGGTTGGAACTGGAGGTGTGGCTCAAGTGGTAAAGTGCCTTGGTAAACTTAGGACAAGGTCCTAAGTTTAAATACCAGTACCAGCACAGAAAAAAAAAGAAAAAAAGAAAAAGAAAAATAGGAGCTGGGCGCCAGTGGCTCATACCTGTAATTCTAGCTACTCAGGAGGCTGAGAGCTGAGCATTGTGGTTCAAAGCCAGCCTGGGCAGGAAAGTCCATGAGACTCTTTATCTCCAATAAACCACTCAGAAAACCAGAAGTAGCACTGTGGCTCAAGTGGTAGAGTGCTCATCTTGAGCTGAAGAGTTGAGGGACAGCACCCAGGCCCAGAGTTCAAGCCCCACAACCCACAAAAACAAACAAATAAATAAGAAAAAGGAAAAGTAAAAAAAAATGGGAGTGAATATGATCAAACAGAAACCACTCCATATAAATACACTCCAATTAAAGGAAATGAAAGAAGAACAAAACCCACCAAGAAATCTTTACCATTCTCTCTACACACAAAAACTAACTGTAAGGTGATGGATATTTTAGCTCAACACTGTTAGAGTTGTGGAGCAATGAATCGTGTGGTCTGGCATTGCCAAAGCAACCACAGGCAGGGCTTGAAAAATCAATAGGAAATGTAACCCCTCGGTACATCACCTTTGTCATAACAACAAAAAATTTAAAAGAGGGGCTGGGAAGGTGACTCGGTGGTAGACTGCTTGCCTTGCATGCCTGAGGCCCTGGGTTCGATTCCCCAGCAACCACATAAGCAAAAAGAAAAAAAAGCTGAAAGTGGCGCTGTGGCTCAAGTGGTAGAGCGCTAGCCTTGAGCTGAAGAGATGAGGGACAGCGCCCAGGCCCAGAGTTCAGGCCCCACGACTGGACCCTACCCCCCCCCCCCAAAGAAAAAGAAAATAAAATATTTAAAAGAGGAGGAGGAGGGGAGCTGGAGAGGGGAGGGATAGTAGCAGAAAAACAAAGGAGGGGGGTAACAATGTTGGTCAAGAAATGGACTCATTACCTTACTCATGTAACTGTATCCCCTCTGTTCAGCATCTTCACAATAAAATTAAACTTAAAAACGAGGAAATCCAATCCACCCAGACCTTCCAGGGATGCCTTTCAATAATCCAAATGGCTTCTGGCAGAAAGGAAAGGTCCTCCATCCAGCGACCTTTCTCTATGTACACACGAGCGCTACCATCATGGTGTGGACCGTAACATATGTCAGTCATGCTTCCTCAAGGAGCTGAGGACTTCCTTAAGACCGGCTGCTCCGAAATCCCTGTGACTGGGGGAAAACAGATCGGTTACAACTGAAAGCACAGCGGGTTTTACACCCAGGCAGTGTGAGCAGCGGGGCTGGGCTAAGGGCCGCAAGCATGAAAGTCCCGGGGCTCCGGCGCCCCTCGCCGGCTCCTCCCTCCTCCCGGGCCCTCCCGGGCCAGCTTCCCCGGAGGGGCTCGTCCCCAGCGGTTGCCAGGCCGGCCAGCCCTTCCCACTCGGGAGCCCCCGAGGCTGGACTCGAACGCCGGTCCCGCAGGCCGCCAGCACGGCGGTCCCGGGTTGGCGACCGCAGGTGTAGCGGCTCCGCGCGGGCGGCGCGGGCATCCCCATTATTGTTACGCAGCCCCGCAGCCCCGCTTCTTCCCGGGACGGCGCGGGAGGGGGGGGTGCCCGGCGGGATGGGACCCCCCCCCCCCCCCCCGGCCCGGCGGCCCGGCCACCCGGCTCAGCACGGCCGCGGCCTCCAAGCCTACTTACGCAAGGCCCCGGCTGATTCGCCACTGACTGACCAGTGTCCGAATTTACCAAGAAAAGCCGATTCTCCCCGTCCGGAAGCCCTTTCCACCCAGACAGGGAGAGGCCGGAGGGACTTTCGTGAGGCCGGAACGTGGCTGCGGCTCTGACGTCCACGGCGTCGACTCCCGGCACGCCGCGGCCCGGCGTCGAAAGTGCCGTCGCGGACCCGCAGGCCGCGGTTCCCGGCGCGCAGGCGCAGTGGCCCCGGCTCCCGCCCCCTCCGCCCGGGAGTCCGACGTGGAAGTTGCAGGCGGGCCGGGCTGGCGAGGGAGACCGGCGCGAGCGGGGGTGGCGGTGCCGGGGCTGGAATCGAGTCGCTGCCGAGCCCAGGCCTGTGTGTGAGGATCGGCGAGGGCGGACCGGCGGTTCACCATGGGTGAGGGGCCGGCGAAGGCGGGGGTGGGCCGGGGCGGGCGGAGCGGGCCGCTGGGGGGCGGACGGCCGAGCGCGGCCCCCCCCCCCCGCCCCGGGGCTCCCCCGCGCCCCGCGCCTGTCGGGGGCCGGCCGGTCCTTCGCGGGGCCTCGCCGAGCTGCGGGCCGGGTCCTGGGCGGGCGGCCCAGCGGTGGGAGCTCGGTCCTCTCCCGGGGCGAGGGGGCCAGGGAGTCGTGCGGCCGGGCTGGGCCCCTGGCGGCCGCGGGGCGCCGCTTGCTTTGCCGTCGTCTTGGAGATGGGAGGCAGCGCGGGCCGCCCGGGGGGACCCCGGCCGCCGCCCCCGCCGGGCCCGCCTCCGTCCCGGTGCGCTGTTCCCGGCAGCGTCCACTTCCTGCTCCCGAGCACCGGCCTGCGCTGCCCTGGCCTCTGTGAGCCTGTGTAGCCCGGTCCTTCCGCCTCCCCGACCTGTGAACGGGAGACACGGTGTGCCAGGTCGCACCCACCCCGGCTCCACGTTCCCGTGCTCATTTTTCCAGACCCGAGGCTTTGAACTGCGCCGTTTCTTTTGCAAATAGCCAAGTGTGGTGTGGCATCGCTAATTGCTTTCCTATTTCATACATGCCCGTATACACGCATGCACGTGCATGTGTCCATGTCCGTGTATTGATGGTGCCCAGCTGGCCTCAAATCCTGTGTGTTTCTCCTGAGCGCTGAGACAGGTGTGCACACCAGCACCTGGCTTTTCATACTCTTGATGTAACTTAAGCAAACCTGTGGCAGCTTTTAATGGGAGAGAGAATGTGCCACAAGGAACTTTCCTACTGCACAGAACCCAGGGATGCAGTGAACGTAGATCTAGATCTGGTTTTTAAAGTGAGTTTTCCATCAGTGGTGGTGCTTGTTATTTTTTGGCTTGTAGTTTCAAGTGCTGGGTGTATTGAGTAGAGGAGAACTCGCAGTGGCTCAAGATGGTGATGGAGGTACTGCCGCTGTGTAAGAGTAAATGCCTTTCATTGTTCCAGTGCCCCTCTGACTGGCCCTTAGGTTTAACCAGTTGGCCTGGAGACGATGCTAAGCGATCCCTGTTCTTGTGGTTAGAAAATCAACTCCACAAGGGCTGCAGCTGCATTTTTAATTATGTAGTGTGTCGTCTTCTGCCTGCTAGAACCTAGTAATTTTGACTGATATATTTCATTAGAAACAAAAATTACCTACTTACCATCTAGGAAAATATACTTTCATTTGGTGTATAGCTTTTTCAAAGTTGAAATTGAATGCTTTGTGGACCTAATTTTGAAAAAGAACATGGAATACATTTTGGCTTTGTATTATCTTGTAGGTGGCTTTTTCTCAAGTATTTTTTCCAGTCTCTTTGGAACCCGGGAAATGAGGATTTTGATTTTGGGATTAGATGGTGCTGGAAAAACCACAATTTTATACCGATTACAGGTTGGAGAAGTCGTTACTACTATTCCTAGTAAGTGTTGGTATAATAAGCTAATTGTAGCAGCTCTCTGGGTTCCCATCTAAGAAAATTTTATGGGTAAATTATATAGTAAGTTGTTTGCATATTTCTACTATGAACATAATATTAACACCTTTTTCATCAACTGAGAGACATTTTGATGTTCTGTATACCTGTCGTGGTGCTGAGCCAGATCTGTTATTTAGAGCTAAAGCTGGCTTCAATACTCAAGTCTGAGAATCAGTATCTTTGCTGCTGAAATGTAGATATCTCCTAGCTTTGAAGAGGAAATTAAGTACTAAAAGTACTCTGTTTACTTGTGTAGGGAATTATGTAGATGGTAAGTAACAATACAGATTAGTACTTTTTTTCTGCATTTGCTACTATTTTAATTATGATTATTTTCTCTTACATTACTTTGGTTACTTAAAATTTTGATTATACAGACCAAATGCAAAACTGGTACTTTAACATTTTAAGTCAATTGTTGCTTTTTTTTTCTTTTTCTGTAATGGTGAGGATCAAACCCAGGGCCTTGTGTATTGTTGCTATCTTAAAAAATAATTTGCAAATAGCCCTGCTTGATTACATTAAGAATGCTATTGATGGGCTGAGATGGTGGCTCAGTAGTAGAGTGCTTGCCTTGCATGCATGAGGCCGTGGGTTTGATTCCTCAGCACCATATAAGCAGAAAAAGCTGGAAGTGGCACTGTGGCTCAAGTGGTATAGCCTAACCTTGAACTGAAAAGCCAAGGAACAGCAACCAGGCCCAGAGTTCAGGCCCCACAACCAACAACAACAAAAAGAATGCTATTGTTGCTTAAATGTTTTCATTGCTGACCTAATTTATAGAGGTAAATACGATTAAACTAAATTGATTGCCCAGTTTGCTATGCTTCTACAGTTACCCATATAGGAGTATTTTTATTTCTCTGTAACTACTGATTAAGCTTCAAAATTAAAAAAAAAAAATATGGGACACTGGTGGCTCATGCCTATAATCCTAGCTACTCAGGAAGCTGAGTTCTGAATATCAAAGTTCAAAGCCAGGCTGGGCAGGAAAGTCTGTGAGTCTCTTAGCTCCGATTAGCCACCAGAAAACTAGAAGTGGCTCTGTGGGTCAAAGTGCTAGAGTACTAGCCTTGAGTGAAAAAGCTCGGGAACAGGGGCTGAGAAGGTGGCTCAGTGGTTAAAGCGCTTGCCTTGCATGCCTGAGGCCCTGGGTTCGATTCCTCAGCACCACATAAGCAAAAAAAAAAAAAAAAAAGCCGGAAGTGGCGCTGTGGCTCAAGTGGTAGAGTGCTAGCCTTGAGCTGAAGAGCTGAGGGACAGTGCCCAGGCCCAGAGTTCAGGCCCCATGACCGGACCCCCCCCCCCCCAAAAAAAAAAAAAGCTCGGGGACAATGCCTAGGTCCTGAATTCAAGGCTCAGGACTAGGAAACAAACAAAACTAAGCTTTTTTTGTTTGTTTGTTTATGCCATTTCTGGGGTTTGAACTCAGCCTTAAATTCTTGTTTGGCCTTTTCATTCAAAGCAGGTAGTCTACCACTTGAGCCACTTCTCCATGCTTGGCTTTCTGTTGGCTAATTGGAGATAAAAATTTCACAGACTTTTCTGCTGTGAGTGGCTTTCAACCAGGATCCTCAGATCTCAGCCTCATGAGTAGGATTATAGGCACGAGCCACTGGTACCAGCTCAAGGAATTCTTTTATAAGTTGAGGGCAGTGTTCATCTTGCTAATTGATGGGGTATATGTTTATCTTTCTCAAAATATTTTCTTATCTTCAATAATATCTCAGGCAATAATTGTGATTTGGCAATTGTTATTAATTGCAAAAACTCATTTAGATTGGATACTTTGAAGGTAGAGTACATTAGTCTACAAATGCTACTGATGTGATTTCTCTTGCAGCTATCGGATTTAATGTAGAAACTGTGACATACAAAAACCTTAAATTCCAAGTGTGGGACCTAGGAGGACAGACAAGTATCAGGTATGGTATGCACATCAGATCATTTTGTGGTATTTAATATTTATGGATTCCTCTATGTGTTATCAGCAGTGAACCAAAATATACTATCTGATATAAACTAGATGGGAGCTCCTGGTTTAAAATCTGAAATTTTCTATTTCCTCAGAGTATCCATTGAGTTAAAATGCAAGGAAGCCAGTTAAATAAAAATCTTTTCATGAAAATAGGAAGGTCTAATTACTTTAGTGGTTTTCAGCTGAAATGATTATTTCCATTTACTCTTGTTAGCTCCTACCTCTATGAAACAGACATAACAATGCTATTTAGAGCTAATGTAAACATAGATGCCTCCTGCAATTTGGGACTTGATGCGACAATTGTGAATACTTGGTAACTGACAATCATAGTTCACTATAGCACCATCTTAAAGAGATTCATATTACATTCCCTAAATGCCTGCCTTTAGCTCATTTCATTTCTTAAGTCACTTTTGAGTTTATTCCTAATTTTAGTCTTTTCTACTTCTTAGTATTATCAATGAATAGTGAGTTACATAAAATCAAAATAGCAGAAAGTCCATCCCTGATAAAGGATTCTTGCTTAAACATTTTAATGATCAGGTCTGTGTTTGATATTTTTTACCAGAACATCTAGTGATTTTATAGAATGTAAATACACTGTTGGCTTGAATGAAGTATGAACTAGTTTGGAATTCCCTGCTCCTGTGTTTATTTTTTAATTTTAATTTTTGTTGGTCATGGGGCTTGAACTCTGGCCTGGCTGGGCTCTGTCCCTGAGCTCTTCAGCTCAAGGCAAGTAAGTGCTCTACCACTTGAGCCACAGCTCCACTTCCAGTTGTCTGGTGGTTAACTGGAGATAAAAGTCTCATGGATTTTACTGCCCACGCTGGCTGCAGACCACAATCCTCACTATCTCAGCCTCCTGAGTAGCTAGGATTACAGGTGTGAGCCACTAGCGCCCGGCTTCCTATGATGTTTAATGGGCTCCAGCACCATTACATGGGAGGGGTGGGAGCTATCTATCCATCAGGAGCAGCAAATCACTGCAGCCTGATTGGACAGTCCTGGGCAGGATCAGCATTTGATTGCCACTATTTCTCCATCATTGTCTTGAGTCTACCATGGAAACTGACATGTCTTTCAAATATATTCTTCCCCTCTGAATTTCCTTTAGGCCATATTGGAGGTGTTATTATTCCAACACAGATGCAGTCATTTATGTGGTAGACAGTTGTGACCGAGACAGAATTGGCATTTCCAAGTCAGAATTAGTTGCCATGTTGGAGGTAAGCAAACTACCACATTAAAGCATGG